CAAAGTAAATTCTTGCGTACGAACTCTTTACCGTGATTAACACTTTTATGTATTGCCTTCTGCAGCGAGTCCTGTGTAACTTTTCAGTCTGCGTGAATTTCACTGGCGATATTAACGTGTAACTAGTAAAGTGGACCTCAGATTCTCGATTACAATCATATTCCAGTTTGTGTTACACCCTATCCGTCCACTTTCCAGGACTGTATTTTCCTTCACCCCTTCATCGGTCCTTGTTGTGTAAAAATGATTTGTGAAACATTAGATAGTTTAGGCGAACTAGAATATTCATCCTCGTATTTTCCTGCACTTGTACTTGAACAGAGGATCAGATTATTACAGTACTTCTCCTACCAAACATTTCGTCTGTATCGAATACCTGATGCAAACAAAATGGTGTCCAAAATAAACGAACGATTCAAATTACCGTAAAATTTCGATGATCGATTGGGGTGAAATTATGAATGCGAAGGTAGTTTCATAATGCGTGGGTTTCTACGAATTCGTATCGCTGGTCGAGATATTAAAACGAATAACGAGCTTCAGCAACGAAGCTCCATTGGATACCATCTAGGAAAATGATACGAGAAAATTTTAACATCCACCGGTATATACGACCCGGTGCGATAACGTGGAACATGTGTGAGGGGGCGGTAGGAGGGTCTTTTTTCCACCTTTTGGCCGAGAGAATAATTAAAGGCACAAAAGAGTACGCCTAGCGAATTACTCGGCCGCTGCACCAGCAACCAGCCAGGAACGACGATTGGACGGTTATTCTCATTCCGAGATTCTCTCCTTGAACGCGGGGTCCACGTCAGACGCGGAAACGTTCAAAGGGTTTTCGCGAAGCGGCAGGAAAAAACTAATTAACTTTTCAGGATAATTAAGATAAGACCCGGTGGAGATTCGGCCAAAAGCACGGCTCTGTTACTTGGAGCCCGGCACACGGCTTTCTCTTTATTCTTCGCACCGGAAAGGAGGATTGAGACGGAGAGATACTTGCTTTTAAAGAACGATCATCGGTCGATTAAATCGTTTGCGTATACGGTGGTTAATTGGAACACTAGTTAATCGGCACTGGCGGTTAGGTTAGGACAACGCAGAACAGAACATTTTTTCCGATTTCTTTATTTATCCATATTCGATATTGAATATATGTTAAATATACAGTTTTTAGACATTTTGTTTTCAGAGAAAAAATAAATGACTTTTAGATTAAATGACTTTTCCTTAATATCGATATATGAAATTTAAGGTGTTATTTATTTATAAATATTTCATGTGTATCTAATATAAAGTAGATAACTTAATATATTATACATATACTAATTTTATAAAATATTTTTTACTTGTAATAGTTAAGTTTTGAACGATTGTAAATGGTTTTAAGTAACTGTTCTCTTGAAAAGTCATTAGGATTTTGAGTGTTAAAAAATTTTTAGTACTAGAAAATTGATAGATTTGGAAACTATTTACTTTATAAATCTACAAATCTACAAATCTACAAATCTACAAATCTACAAATCTACAAATCTACAAATCTACAAATCTACAAATCTACAAATCTACAAATCTACAAATCTACAAATCTACAAATCTACAAATCTACAAATCTACAAATCTACAAATCTACAAATCTACAAATCTACAAATCTACAAATCTACAAATCTACAAATCTACAAATCTACAAATCTACAAATCTACAAATCTACAAATCTACAAATCTACAAATCTACAAATCTACAAATCTACAAATCTACAAATCTACAAATCTACAAATCTACAAATCTACAAATCTACAAATCTACAAATCTACAAATCTACAAATCTACAAATCTACAAATCTACAAATCTACAAATCTACAAATCTACAAATCTACAAATCTACAAATCTACAAATCTACAAATCTACAAATCTACAAATCTACAAATCTACAAATCTACAAATCTACAAATCCACAAATTTGTGAGTCGATAAATTTAGACTTCTGCAATCTCAAAAAATTGTAAACTCATTAATCTTAATATTGGAAAAAATTTAAAAACGTACCAATTAAAAAAATACACAGTAGTGATTAATATTAAACACGAAAAACGGTGCAAAACAAAATTGTACCTCCATCACACAATAGCTAAATTCTTACTTTTTCTGCAAAAATTTCTTGCAAAACTTAATTCCTTCCCTCGTCCCAAATACAAATGTCACATTGAAACGTACGATTGCAATGAAGTTGAAACCGAAATTCAGTAGTATTCATATAAATTTTTCAATGACAGTTCTAAAAGAAGACGTTGAAGTCCGTGACGGTACGGGGGAAACTTTGATTTCACTTTAATTTAACTTCATCGAGAGTTGGTCAATAGCAATATCTTTAATTGCTCGTCGGCAAATCTTACCGTTAGGTAATGGTAGCCTTTATTGAAATTCGCGCTAGACTTTCTTACTGCCATCACTTCACCGGGGGCCCTTTTGCGTGCAGATTCAATATTTTAACCATGCCATTTCCGCCCCGTAGGAACTGTTATATTATTTCTGGACTTTATTCCTCTACATTTCTCTCGCTCTCTCTCGCTCTCCTTTCTCTTTTTTTCTTTACTACGGCTAAGAGGAAAGACGAGTTCTTTGAAAATATTTCAACATTGACACAGAGAATATTAACATACTGTTGCCTGGATGTTTCATGAATTAACAATTACACGTAATTTACTTACATGAAGCTTCATGAAGGTTGGCCAGAGGTGACATGAAAGGGACACGTTGAAAGGGACACTTCAAAGATGAAATATCTGACCTCGATGGTTCCTCTATTTTTTAAACATGTATTATAACTTCGAGAAATTGTAGAGTGTAATAAGTTGTTGAGTGTAGTACCAATGTAACATTGAGATTTTGTGAAAATATTAATTACTGCTATCTAAATGTTTCATGAGTCCTTATACAATTTATTTGTCACTCGATATACTGGATACGTCACTTAAAACTAACTATTCATACCTACAATATTAAAACAAAAAAAAGAGAAATGTTGTGTGTATTTCATATTCAGCGATCCTCGGATAAAAATTCAAACTTCAAGTTGAAGAGTATTAAAAATTTGAGCCATGAGTGCGTCACGAGTCAAACTTGTCAAACTACAGCAAATAATAGAAGCTCTATGAAGCGTCCTGAAGCAGAGGTGACACGAAAGGAACATGAAACATCACACGAAATCAAAAGGAACAACTCTTAAAAATTGAAATATCTGATCTCGAAATTTTCTCGAAAACCGAAGCTATCACAAAATCCAGAAAACCCTCTACTTAAACAAACCCATTATAGAAACAAATGATCAAGTCTTGCAAAACAAACTTTATCAACGTATCTCCGCAAAGAGTGATCCAAACAATGAAAATCCAAAACTTGACATTCAAGATCAAAAGCCGAGACAAACGTTAACCTCTTAGGCACTATAGTGGCTTTCGCGGATAGCACCTCTGTACGACCACTATAGTGGCTTTCGCGAATGTCGTAGATTACATAGCGCCATAGTGGCTCACTCTACTGGCTCACTCACCGTTTCAATTGAATCTTCATATGTTTTGATTCGCACTTTTTTACCTTCCCACGTTTTATAAGAGTAAATCCCACAAAAGCACGTAATATGTAAATAAAATGTAACGCGAAGTTTAAGCACCATGGGAGCACCTCTTCGCACTAGTATACAATATTGGACACATTTGGCAATGATGTATTTTGTGAATTTTCTAAAAAAGTAAATTATCAAAATTAAAGTATATGATGTCTTTGGGAAAAAATTTAAATATGAAAAATTTCGTTCCAATGTAGCGTAGAAAACACTATTATAATGTTATTCAAACTCTGCCGTACAGAGAAGCAGCGCAAAGTAAAGCCGTGCCTAAGAGGTTAACATCCCCAAAATGTGCTAACTAGAATTCAACACTGTAATGTATATTTCTGACATTTTTAAATTTTGATATTTTTTCATTTTGACATTTTGATATTTTGACATTTTAAGATTTTCACATTTTGCTATTTTGATATTTTGATATTTTGATGTTTTGATATTTTGATATTTTGATATTTTGATACTTTGACATTTTGACATTTTGATATTTTGATATTTTGATATTTTGATATTTTGATATTTTGACATTTTAATATTTTGACATTTTAAGAGATTGACATTTTGACATTTTAAGATTTTGACATTTTGATATTTTGACATTTTGACATTTTGACATTTTGACATTTTGACATTTTGACATTTTGACATTTTGACATTTTGACATTTTGACATTTTGACATTTTGACATTTTGACATTTTGACATTTTGACATTTTGACATTTTGACATTTTGACATTTTGACATTTTGACATTTTGACATTTTGACATTTTGACATTTTGATATCTTGATATTTTAACATTTTGGTACCTTGATATATTGATACCTTGATATCTTGATACCTTGATATCTTGATAGCTTGATATCTTGATACCTTGATACCTTGATAGCTTGATACCTTGATATCTTGATACCTTGATATCTTCGTACCTTGATATTTTGGTACCTTGATAGCTTGATATTCAATAATGATCCCATTAATTAATCTCGTACAAGCTACAATAAAACCAGTGAATCTTATTAGTATCTTTGTACATCTATTGGATGGACATTTTCATGACGGAACAATGGCGGTCAGGGACCAAGTGCAAAAAGGAAGGTCGGAGGATGATAATAATATAGATAAAGAGAAAATGGAAAAGTAGGGAGAAAAGAGAGATTCGATATCAGGCAGAGCATCGTTATCCGAGTAAATAGGCTGGCAGTGTCGTCGACGGCCCCTGACGGCCGACCACGGCCCCCGAACACAATCCACGGACTCGTATTGTTGTACTTTATTCCCCGAGTGGTCGAGAACGGCTACGAGGATGTCTACAATCCTCTGTAACCAGTAACCTGCCTCAATCTCCGCGTCACCGACGACGGAACGAGAAACTACCTTAAATCCTCCAAGGAACCGGAATTGATAATTCCGAGCTTGAAAGCTAGCGACTGTTCTCGCTGCTCCGGAAGGTAATCGTCGTCCCGGGATGCTTGCACATTCTGCTCTTTCTGGAAATTTCGTTCCCGGTCCGGCATGCATCGACGATCCAATCAATCTTGAAAATTAATTGTTTCTGAAACAAAGAGCTTAAATGGTGACTTTGACAAAGACTTTGGTACAAAATTTGAATCATTTAATTCTTTCAAACATTTCTTCCAAATATATCTTGAAAATATATTTAGAATGTAGAAAATAAGTGTAGATTAATTGTTATTAAACAACTTACTCAACGACCAAATCAAAACGATAATAGCAAAATAAATAACTTATTTCGTTGTTAGTAATTCAACTCTCTTGTTCACACCATACAAATCCCACAGAAATATATATCTACACTCATCTATTACATTTTGTTATATATTTTATTCGTTTTCATGTATTAGCAAGAAATGTTATAAAATGGCGTCTGTAATGTTCGATTAAAATCAAGTCGTTGAAGCTTTTAACACTTCTTTTCAATGTCAATCATATATGTCATATGACACATTACCCACATATGGGCGACCCATATACATATGAATTTCCATATATGTAGATCTTACATCTATATTATTAGAAATTTATCCACTAAAAATACCTGAATCAATTGCTTAAAACTGTGGAATGTAAATATAAAGTATTGTAAAAATATTTAGTGAGATGCAACTGTAACTGAAAATGTACGTAATGCAATTTTCAATTTTTTCAGTGTGGCAGTCAATTAAACAGAGAGAAATAATAATTTAAAAAGTGATATACTCTCATTTTATAGTTTAAGTATATGCTCATAAAGAAAACTTCCCAAGAGCCATGAACTGACGAAATAAAATTCACTGGAAGCTAAACGATGCGGTAGCGCTGAAAAGGGAGAACAAAAACTGTCCAATTATTTGTGTTCTTTGTTTTCAGGTAACAAGAGCTTTAGCGATGCTGGTCTGATTAATACTTTCGAAGGACTTAATACTTTTTCTTGTCTATTTATGACAAAGCAAAGTAGTATCGTCGACACGTAATCCTCCATTATAATTGACCTCGTACTTCTACTGCTTGTTTCAGGGGATAGAAATGGTAAGCAGAAAGAGATAGCGAATGAATTATGTGAAACTTGAAATCTTTCTTCAAATATGAACGCATTTCACTTATTTTTTTATGGTATCAGTAGAGCATTTGTAATTAGAGCGTCCTTGTTGGGGCTTTTGTTTTGGAAGTTCATACATAGCCTAACTTTATTGGGTACTGGAGAATTTTAAAATATACTGTTTGATTGAATGAGGTATTTTATATATTTTCACTGTTACCATTCACAGTTATTAAAATAAAAATTCGTTTATAAATTTCTATATTTCTAAATATCTGTATTTACTAATATTTGTATTGCTAATTTCTGTGCTGTCAAGTTTCTATATTTCTCAATTTTTATATTTTATTAATTTCTTTATTTCCACATTTCTTTTATATTTTCTAATTTTTGTACTTCTCAAATATCCATTAATTTCAAAATACATAACCTTCTATATTTCTAAATGTTTATAATTCTATTAATCTCTTTATTTCCACATTTTTTTTATATTTTTTAATTTCTATATTTCTGAAGTATCCATAAATTTCAAGATACATAACCTTCCATAACTTCCAATTTTTACACTTTACTAATATCTTCATTGCCAAATTTATTTTATATTTTCCAATTTCTATATTCTTATAATTTTTACATTTTTTTCTATTAATATCTACATGCACAAATACCTATATCCTCGAATTCTTACATTTCCAGAGCCTCATATCTCCAAAACTATGTTTCTCAAAGATTCCTTATATCCAAATTTAATAATGAAACAATACCGAAACAAAAATATGCTAATACTAAATCTTAAGAAAAAGAGAACAGATGATCCGTTCTCGAATCAAGAACAGAAGAACAGATAAAAATGAAAGCTAACAACTTCGAGTCCTGTTTGTCGCATTCCGTAAATAAATAATTAGAATCTCCCTTCGCCATCAACGGGCTTTTTCTTCGTTCATTCTTTTTTTTGGCTCTCTTTTCCTACATTGGTCTTCCCGGTTGGTGAATGGCAGTGATTGGCAGTTAATGACGACGCTTCACGGACTACCCTCTACACCTCCGATATCCAGGCGTTCCCGTTGGGACAAGTGTCCCGTGTAATTTCTATCGAGTCGCTCGTGATTTTATTCTCAAGGATCGTTTCACGAAAACACCGACAATTTCGTCTCAGCTGTCCTTACAGGAATCGATCGAACGCCCCGTGAGATTAAGCATTACGGACACTGATTGCTTATATTGTGAAATGTTAATACATTCCCTTCTTGTGTCATTGGGAAATACAAGTTTATTAGTTCTGAATCAAGTATCGGTGATTTGTTATATGAATAGTCATTTTTTGCTTATTTTTGACGGTTAAACTATCTGAATTATAATAGTAGAGTATTAGTTTTATCATGCAAAAATGTTGTAAGATATTTTAGGATTCATTGTTTTTAAACTGTCATGAGAACTCAAACAAATACTTCTGTTAAAATTATAATGAATTTATATGGCTTTTATAAAAGTTGTTTTATACTTATAAATAATAGAGAATTAGAACTAATCTATTCCTTCCTAATTTAATTTGAACAATAAAATGAAGTGATAAGTCAATATCAGTGATAATGATCAATTAACCCTTTGCACCCAAGAAATAGAGAATTAGAATTAATCTGTTTCTTGTTAGTTTAGCAGTAAAATAGTAAAATTAAGTGATAACGTCAATATCGGTGATAATAATCAATTAACCCTTTGCACTCCTACATCGAGTGTGACTCAACATGACATTTCTCTTGGATCTTATAAATAATTCATATAAATTGAATATTTTCATTTATTTACTATTTATAAGAAATGAAAAATGTATTTATCACATAGTTCACTCTTTGGCAATACATTTTATTCACAAGCCCTTTTTGATCTACTTTGTAAATGAGGAAATAGATAAAATGAAGAAGTGTAAAGCATTAGGTGCCATTGAAGCAGATATGATTTCACGTGAGATCGAAATAAAGTTAAAATTGTTAATATTTATTATAGCGAAGTATTGCTACAATATATGTATTGTCTCCACTCTCCAAATCACCGCATCCCTAATCTTCCAATACCTAATTTCCTCACTCTCCAAATCACCGAATCCCAAATTTTCCAATTACTAATTTTCCCATTCTCGAAATCACTGAATCCCGAATTTTCCAATCCTTACTTTCCCCACTCTAAAAATCATCGAATAAAAAATTTTTCAGTTCCTACTTTTCCCACTCCACAAGTCACCGAATCCCTAATCTTCCAATTCCCACTTTTCCCCACTCTCCAAATCACCGAATCTCAAATCTTCCAATGCCTAATTTCCTCACTCTCCAAATCACCGAATCCCAAATTTTCCAATCCCTAATTTCCCCACTCTCTAAATCACCGAATCCCAAATTTCCCAATTCCTACTTTTATTGCATACATTTACAGTAATAATAACTATACAGAAATATAATTTTACTATAATAAATATATAACTATAATTTTATTCATAAACTCGTCATAATATCAGCATAACCTAAAACCTTATAATGTTCTTTTAATCATTTTTCTTTTGTCAAGTCTCCTGAATTCTTCAGAATACTTAGGGAAAGAAATAAAAGGTTAATGTAGTAAACCTTTAAAAGGTTAAGCCAAAAGCCTTTAAAACAAGTACTTATACATACTAAATACATGTTAAATACATACTAAATTCAGACCTATAATTTAAAAACTACTCCACACGCTTTAATAAAGATGTATCGCAACATTATATATCGTTACATTAGCAACAGTTGTATATAAGTTAAGGCTTAATAGCGACTATTATTGATTATAATATCGCATGATTGGTACAATCACGTTACATTGTATCCATCAATGCATTGCATGCAACCGACTAACCATTCGAAGTTACCGATGCACGAAAACGAAGGATATTAGATTGAAGGGATGATGATTCGAACAGGAACATTTCACGTTTACTCAATCTATTTTCAATGAAAACTGCAACGACTTTAAACAAAAATATAGTGTTTAAAAAAGTGAACATAGGAAGATTGCTTTCTTATGCTGGTAAGAGTGTTTTTGTTAAAAGAAAGGTTTAAAGCAGAAACTTGATAATTGGAGGGTGCAACAGTTTAAGCTATCAATATTGACAAAATCTGTATTTTAGAGTGACAGATAGTCAATCAAAATTGGTGTATTTTAGATTAATAAATCTAGGAATTTTTATGTTACGAAATTTCTGTTCTAAATGTTTCATTTTGAAATCTTTGAATTTCTAAATTTTCAATTCTTAAATTTCCAAATTTCTAAGCTTAAAATTCCTAAATTACAGAATTTCCAAATTTCCAAATTTCGAAATTACCGTATCCCTAAATTTCCGAATTACTAAATTTCTGAATTCCTACATTTCCAAATCAATCTTTTCGATTTCTAAACTTCCCAATTTCCCTATCTCCAACTTCCCAAATTTTCCAATTCCTAATTTCCCCACTCTCCAAATCACCGAATCCCAAATCTTCTAATCCCTAATTTTCCCACTCCCCAAATCACCGAATGCCAAATTTTCCAATTCCTAATTTCCCCACTCTTCAAATCACCGAATCCCAAATTTTCCAATTACTAATTTCCTCTCTCTCCAAATCACCTAATACCTAATTTCCCCAGTTTCCAAATTACCGAATCCCAAATTTTCCAATTTCTAATTTCCTCACTCTCCAAATCACCAAATCCCAAATTTTCCAATCCCTCATTTCCCTACTCTCCAAATCACCACATCCCAAATTTTCCAATTACTAATTTCCTCACTCTCCAAATCACCTAATCCCTAATTTCCCCAGTTTCCAAATTACCGAATCCCAAATTTTCCAATCCCTAATTTCCCCACTCTCCAAATCACCGAATCCCTAATTTCCCCAGTTTCCACTTTTCCCCACTTTCCAAATCACCGAATCTCAAATTCCCAAATTCTTAAATTCCTAAGCTTTCCAATTCCCACTCCTCCAAATTTTCACATTCCCAAACTTCCA